ACTGCCGTCATATAGCTGGAATATTGCTGAGTGCGGCGTTAAACTACAAACCAACCAAACCAATTGATAATAAGGACATTCGTTCCAGAACGCTACATCATGACAGAGACAAATTATGAAAACACGTCAGGTATAAATGTTAAGTATCACTTTAAATTGCAGGTGAACGCATCACGTTAAAAAACCATACATCTTTTAATTGAACATTAATGGCGTTCACTGCCACTTACATATGTTACGCAAATTATTAACGGACATGCCCCCGACCCCTTCATTTAGGCTAATGATTAAAAAAACACATATATCTTGCGACTGAGGTGAGTACAATTAACCCTATGTCAATCAACCAGATGTTCTGTGGCCATATTTAGCATTTTCATGTTATATCAGTGCTATCAAATGTGAAGTTCATTGCAATTTGATATATGGCGCGATTGTCCGCTCGGGATTACCTGTTGGCAACTTGCCAGTAACATGACACATGTTTGTCGTATTGTTTACGTATCTCATAAATAGATATATACAACTGTCCGCCCACCAGTTAGAATAGCATTCATAACGATCAATACTTCAGTAATGTCAAAGTACTTCAGTGTAGCCAACGGTATAATATATGTGCATGCATGTTGATAATAATTAAGGCATTAATATTGTGTTAAACACGAAATGTATATTGTTCACATTTCATGATTATATACTTTGCATGACTGACGATTGTTATGGTGCATGGTCGGTGTCCTCCCATTAGTTAGACGTCCCAATGGTTAGACAGCTTATAACATGTACATATAGTCCTTAACTACCGGGAAACAAAAAAAAATATACACCCATGTCTAATTGTGGCTAAAAATGAAACAAACTGGACGATGATGTATTTGATTCGGGTATAGTTGTGTTTGGACCTCAAGTTTGTAGTGGTCTGCGACTGTTTTCAGCCTAATAACGTTTTGCTAACATTTTTATTTTTTTTGTCAAATCCAGTTTTCAAGTTTATACTTTCTTTTGCCTGGCAGTTTTTATCTGGCCTGTGTGTGAGTTAAGTATGATGATGTTCGCAATGCGCATGGAACAGTTGTGACGCATTTGATTGATAACGCTAATTATCATTACGTTTCTTTCAGTGGTATGTACAACTAGAATATATGTTTTGCAAAGTCATCACTCTTCTTCAAACCAAATGATTTTTTCTTATGGGGTATATGTAACTATTGTATTTGAACTCCGAAACATGAGACATGAACTGAGGTGAGGTGAATTAGGGTTTGTGACGTCACGTTCAAGATTATTGTACTTATATATAGTGACGTGTGAGTGGCTGTTTGTGCTAGTCCACTGGGATACCATGCCGAAATTTAAATGGGATACCCCCCCTCAGACAAAATATACTGACTGGAGCCGACCAGTCATTGTTTTATCGCCGCAATGCCGAGCGCCAGGCAAGGTTACAACAAGTACCATCTTTTAACGTCTTTCGTTATGTGACGCGATCGGGGACCGAACCACCGACTTTCCGTTTTCCGAGAAGACGCTCTATCCACTACACCACGGATGCGGTCTCCATCAGACATGATCAGATATACTGGGGAGGCGTGGGCCTATAGTATATTATAGTGTATATTTGTATAGCTTTGACCGGCAATGGTATGGTTGTTTCCAACATAAATGTGGTTTAAATCAGTTCGCGGAACATAAATGACAACATTTACTAGAGGAAAGTAGGAATCTGTATTTTCGCAAACGCGTAATGAAACAAAAGATCCTTTGCTTCTTTGGAAAGACCACGACACCTCCAACGGTTATCTCCCCTTGACGGTAGCGGTGGACATAAGCTTGATTCTGAACTCAAGTCTCAACTTATCTTCATTAGCCATTAGCCATGCATGAAATGCCAACGTTCCCAAATACTTTAGATGTCACCAAAAGACAACTACAAATCGTTCGGTTACTCACGTCAGTGTCCAGTAATTTGCCATCCTGCAACACGGGAACGTTTCTTTTTTAATATTCTCGTAATTGGCTTCAAATGCTGTTGATAAGGACCAACCATATTTCATAACTTTAATCATCCTTATGGTCGCCTTTCAATCCATCGATTTATAATCCTTGGATTCAATTTGTATTTCTTTCCCTGTTTTAGATTTTATTAAATTTTATGTATATGTAACTTGAAAGTAACTAAGTAATTTAATTCAGCCTTATAATAAGTATATGAACTTAAACGTTTAATTTCATCTACACACGTGCATTAATTAATGTATCTTTGAAGGTATAAATTCCTGAGCCGAAACACACAAGTACTTTGCTAAAAAAACATGCCCCTAATTTTCTGTTTGAAATTAGATTAGTGGCAATTATCTACATATTTGAGGGCGATTTAATCATTGTTTAAATTTTTAAAGTATTATATCCACACGCTCGTGTTACCGACGAGCTTTTTGTAATCTTTGAAAGCGGATTCCACCTGTGAACGATGGTGCAGGAGCGATTAGCACGACTAATTGGGATCTAATTATTGATTAGGACTTGTAATTATAATTAAGGTGTCTGATTAGCATATACCCCGGCCTTCGAGTGTCTGTAATAACACTTGTAAATTATACCTTTCTCCATATACCATCTGTAAGTGGCACTTGATTGATAAAAGTATTATATTATTAATAAAAAAATAAAGAAGTTGAAAAATCCATCGACAGTTGTACGACACAGTCATGTATACTGGCTCCGCCCGTATATTCTACTTTAAAAGAGAGACCTCGTCTACTACAATAACGTTTGCTCTTCTATATCTTAAGGCTCACCAGTCTCCCCAATGTTACACATCCTGAAGCTCTGATAACAATAAGATGATTTACCTATAAACTATCAAATACCCCCGGTAAGAGTGTTTGATAGTAAAAAGCAGACAATTTCATTTCAACTTTAGATTCCCATGCGGAAAAAGTTGTGAAAAATTGACAACATCAGCAAGCTGTGTTTCTACGAATGTATTATGTTCTCTTCGTGTTGCTGTTTTGAAATGAAACGTTCATGGACATAAAATCCAGCTTATTTTTCAAAACACACTTTTTACTTTTACCCACTGTAATCCCTGGAAGATAAGGAAACGTATTCACCTGTGCACTAAATAAGACCTGACATAGTGAACTGGACGTACTAAGACCCGCGTATCCCATGGGGGATTAGGCGCTATTTACACCTGTGTAATAGAAACTGTGTACGACTTAACGCTGCTATACTGGGCTTTATGACTATTATATGTAAATATTTCAGCGTATGTGATACTTTTCTGTGTATTCCGTCGTAACATGTTCCACTGACGGATGTCAGCGTGAGGTTGATGCGACTCAGTCGCCCCACACCCACAATCATCGAATTCCTTAGTCGTGTAATATGATCATCTATTGTCCAAGCTTTGTTTACCACCTGTTCTTAAATGTAGGAATTTATTGTCTTACCAAAGTTTGTTTATCTGTCAACCACGGATACCGCTCAGCCCAGTGGCGATTTTCGCTGTGTTAAGCTGGACTTAACCAGCAAATGAATCAATAACTATTAATTTGGTGTTTTGACGCCAGATCTAACCAGCATCCGACCCAAGTAATAGATTCTTAGCTTTTTCGTAAACCTCTTTAATCCCTTAACTAAATATACCTAATACGCAGCCAGCAGGAGAGAGCAAGCTGGTATTTGCCGTGAAAGGGACGCGAATGATTGACATTCTTTTCGTGTGCTGACAAGCCAATCAGAATGCGTACGGCGGAGAAGTAATCTAACAAGCCCCGCCCCCCTCACGCTGTAGTAGATCGCCAGCGTAGAGGTTCACAATTGAAGTGGGACTCTACGCTTCTGTACACTCAAGTCTGCTGGGAGACTGACCGAGTTTGAGTCAAATACTAGCAGTTTTACTACCCGAGTGAGCGACAGTCGTGTTGCGTGTTTTCATGTGGAGTATGTGCAGGTGGATATCGGCGTTATAGCACATGTGTTGTACGATGTATTATGACAGTTGATGGCCCCGTACACTGTCCTGTGATCACGGCAAGTTTCGGTAGTTCAAAGGAGCGATTGGACTTCTTACCCCACGGTATGGTGGTTGTACCAGGACTAGTGATGTCCAATCGTCCACGACTTCATATTCCAAATGGATATAAACATTACGACACTTCGTCGCGTCTTGAACAACGATACGGACATAGAGAAGCTAGTGCATATGAAAGAATGGTTTATTCTCCGTCAAAGATGCATGTTGATCCTTGGAACTCCAGTGCTGTGAAACTTAGTTTTTTGATTGGGAATGGCCCTGATCCCGACCCCCGTGACAACTGTCGCCTGGTGTCTCAGTCCGTGACAGATCTGAGAGTACGAGAAGACAGTGGGGTGCCTCTCTGGGTGTCGGACCCCCGGGGTGGGGACAGAGGGGCGTCTATCTCGGATGGAGAGGAAGAATATGTGACCTTGGACTATAACTACAACCCTCGTGGTAGTGCACCAACAACCCCACGGGGGAGTGGCCCTACTACCCCACGGGCTAGTGGTACCCCCCTCCCCACGGGCCAGTGGCACCCCCTCCCCTCGGGGATATCACACAATACAGACGAACCGCCATAGACATAGCTACAACCCTGGGTATATAAACCGTGAACTGTACCCAAACCCCAGGGCTAATCATATGCTAACGCAGACTCGACCCCCGATGGTTTCAAGGCACCAGTCTGTGGAAAATGATACTAGTGTGGAAACGTTACAACGTAAAAAGACAAATGCGCTGCGGAAAGTCGCGGAAACATTCGGACTCGCGCGTGCCCCTAAGGGCGTAGAGACTGATTGCGGGGAAGAAGGGAATGTGAGACGAAAACGAAGCAGATCTCTCCCCGATCTTCAGGCTGACGGGACAGAGAATGTTAGTTGTTATAGTGATGATGAGGATGGTGATGACTTTGGGTTCCGTAATTCCCCCTACTCTAGTGCAGCGTCTAATTGCTCCCCCTCCCCTTCTACAGCCTCCCCCGGTATGCTCAAGGCCAAGTCGCCGTCACCAGGCCGACGAAAGATCCTCCCCAAACGATGGCGCAGCAAAACCAAACCCGTTCCCAACGTGACCGCGTCTTCCCTCTGGAGCCCAGAGGTAGGTGAAATGTTTGCTTTGCATGATTTCTTATATCCCGTACATGTACAGATGTAAACTACCGATGTACACAAGTAGGTGAATTTTACAACGTCTTATGAGACCCGTGAGTCTTATGAGACCCGTGAAGATCCGGGGTAGAATAGGTCTTCAGCAACCCATGCTTGCCGTAAAAGGCGACTATGCCTGTCGTTAAAGGCGACTATGCCTGTCGTTAAAGGCGACTAACGGGATCGGGTGATCAGGCTCGCTGACTTGGTTGATACATGTCATCGTATCCCAATTGCGTGGATCGATGCCCATGATATTAATCACTGGATTGTCTGGTCCAGACTCGATTATTTACACACCGCCGTCATATAGCTGGAATTATGCTGAGTGCGGCGCTAAGCAATCAACCAACCTACTTATGACCACGTACATGATCACATACACGTACAGTACGCACGTACACATGGGTAAAGATGCATGGATTCTCCATAACACGAGCCATACCTACGTCAGGGGTAAGGTGGAATCCCATAAGGTCTGTCACTCATACGTCAAGGATTCACACACACCCGCGGAAGGTTGGATCCCCCAAAACGCCAACCACAGATATTTCAAGAGTGAGATAGAAAGCCCCAAACTACAGCCACGCATATGTCAAGGATTCACGCCAGGGTAAGCCCCCCCCCCCCCCCCCCCCCCCCCACACACACACACACCACCCGAAATGCCAGCCACTAATACGTCAAGGTTGAGGTGGAATCCCCAAAACGCCAGCTACACATACGTCAAGGATTCATACACACGCCAGGGTAAGGTGAAATCCCCCCCCCCCCCCCCCCCCCCAAACACCAGCCACGCATACGTCAAGGATTCATACACACGCCAGGGTAAGAAGAAATCCCCCAAAACACCAACCACGCATACGTCAAGGATTCACATACGTCAGGGAGACTTCTCCCGTATTTGCAATTAAACATACGTCCTGCAGTGGCCGAAAGCTCCATGTCCATTGCTCCGTGCAAATATTTCAACACACGTTATGTTTCTTGTGCTGTTGACTCACCTGCTCCGAAAGCTGACTTTGTTTATTTCCTCATTCCGTACGGAGTCAGGTTAAGAATTTTCCAAATGTCGGTGCACAAGGCACGATCCCTCTATATTTATTCCCAACCTTATGTTCATCATAAGTCATGTAATGTTTCAATGAATTTACGGAACAGTTCAACATAAATGAGTTATCATCGTTATGGTTGCTGAATGCATGTATATTTCGTTGGCAGAATCTATTATTATTATTATGATGATGATGATGATGATTATTATTATTTATTTTTTTTTTATTATTATTTTCATGTGACTGTGAACTGTACATTCTTGTGTGTAGTCCTTGTACTACTGATCCTTCTATTTCACATACATCATAATTTTAATAACTCCTTTGGTAAACATTCGATCAAAACACTTTGAACCTTGCAACTCCAAAACACAAACAACACACTGTCATTTCATGTTCAATAACATATTGTCGTTTACTCCCAATAATCACTCACACACGTATAATGACGTGAAGATTTGGCGCATTGTTCCGCATGACCGACTTACAGCGCCAGCAGGGCTGAGCGTGACGTGGGATGCTATCAAAGGTGCCGACCATATCATGACATTGCTGAGTCGGCGATAACAACCAGACGAATCCCCGTGAACATTTTGCCACAAAACATGCAATACTAATATTTGTGGAATAGAATAGACAATGCAGGCTACGCTTTACTGCTCTATTGTTATGTTGCATTATTTTTCCATGAGTCACGTTTAGTTTTATGTTGGTTCTATACGCGCTCGGTTTAACACACATTACAGATATTATTTAGGCCAGTATGAATGTAAGTGTTATTTTTCTATACATACTGATTGTCGTTAAATGGCTTTATTTTTTCAACAAATTACGGCACACCTGAAGTATTTCTATAAAAATGTAACCCATGTCGAAGGGAAGAGTGAGCGAATGGCTAATAATTTTACACGACTACTAATACGACAACAGGAATACTTTATCCGGGCAGAAATCAAACCACTTTACCGGGCACGAAAAAGGTAGATTGAGTCGATATCAGTATGACAAGGAAATCAGTTGATACTGGTGTGATATTAGCTGCATCACCCGAGCCGGTTACCTATCACTGTTATCACGAACACATCTGCACATCAGAGCGACCGCTCACCGCCTGATTGGTCAACATTATGTAATGAGATGCAGTCGTCTGCTCTGAAGTCTTGAAGGTCATCGGACCTTTTCGTTTTGTTTAAATAACCAGTCATCAGGTAAACATCCAGAATTATGCCCACCCTAGTCACCGAAACAGACGTCACGTATCTGATACTGACATATGATAACAGGGTAGTGCAGTTTCTACAGTCAACAAAGATGACCTTGACCCTCGATAACGTCACTGACGTAACCAAGGGAAGTTACTATGGCGACTGTACTGGGTAAATGTTTACATATACATCGTATCGATTTGGAATTGTACTATTATGATGAGTATATATAATGTAGAATGTGTTGTACATCACGACACCGCTAACGTAGGCCAATAGAGAGACAACTGTTGGGTTGAACAAAGTCGCTGATCGTACGTTTAAAGACACGAGCGCTTGTGCATTATTTTGATGAGAGTTTACAAATTCGACTTTTCATTTTCTGAATCGGATTTGTGCTCTGAGTTGATTAAAATTCCTATACAACGAATCTGAGTCGGTTCCAAAACATGTGCACACAATGTTATTCTCAGGGGTTGTAAAAAATGAGAGGCTTCTCCCAAAAAACGTGGGCACTGCTTGGAGAGATAACACGTGTTGTTTTCCCCGTCTGGCTCTCATCAGGAGCGGTCAGTGCGGGGGACCTCACGTGAGCAGCGTCCTCCCATTGTTCCCCCCTTCCGTCTGGGGAGAGAGGCGGACACGGGGGTCATTGCAGGAACGCGAAGGGTCACTTGGGAGGCTCAGGTAATGGAATAAGGGGACAGGGGTCTAAGGCATCATTGTAATAATGGCGAGAGCAGGGGGTCCAGAAATGAAAATGAGCATGATAGGGGTGGAGTGTGGGTGGAGGATAGTATGAGGTTTTCATGATAGGGGTGGGGTGTGGGTGGAGGATAGTATGGGGTTTTCATGATAGGGGTGGGAAGCGAGGAGAGGATGGTATGAATATGTAGCTGCACGAATTAGAAATAAAATAAGGTCACATTCAACGGATGCGGGAAGCTGAAGGGGTCATCCTAGCTTCTGCTCAAGTATCTATGTACGCTTGCTATGATCCCAAGTGACATCCAAAATGCCACCTATTCAACAATATTAACCTGGCCTCGTTTCACCAAACGATACCAGCTCCACGACTTAAAGAATGGGAGTTACGATCGTCGTTATGTTAAAATCGGTTTGTGGAACGAGGCCTAATAGAGAATCTTGTTCTATATTTCTCTGTGTTCTCACAAACAAAGGGTCACTACACACGCTTACATTCTTACGTGTCCCAATTCAAATTTCAAATTCTAGTGAAAATAGATATGTAAACACGATCCCCTGTGAACAAAATGCATAAATGGAGCTCCTCAACCAAATCCTTGGTGTCATAAACCGCAGAGAATGAAAGGAAGCCATGCATAATTTCTCGGTGGGTGAATCCCAACCTTTGCAAAGCGTCCATCACAGAGAGCCAGCATATGCCAAGGGTTTTCACGTTTTACCACAAGGTAGTTTTTGCTAACACGGAGACGTTTGGGGATTGAACTGGTACAGTTTTTGTGTGCCGTGTGTTGCTAAATGCTGCAAGCCACGTGGCTCTGTGTTTGTCGCCAAACAGTGGTGTCATTAACAATCGCTTCTCAGGCGTCAGTGAACCAACACGCGGATGTGAGCCTGTGGTAAACACAATGCTGGAAAGAAATAAAGGATAGGAGCGGGAACGTAGGGCCTGGGTCAACTAAATTACCTACCTAATTGAATTAATGCTTTTGAAAACATTGCGTTTCGTTCAAAATGATGTGTACCTTTTGTTAACAAATTACCCTTAGGGTAATGTTTTCTTCGTCACTGCCCTGCTAACAAAGCTAGCATAGTATTAATGCTATACGACTGTATGCGACCCGTTCCACAAAGCGGCCGTAGCGCTATGTGATCTTAACTACTAGAGACACAAGAGAATAAATTCAAAAATGAACTCAATTGAAATGATTTGGCAAGTCTAGATTGCTTCAGCTTGAAATTAAGCATTGTTCTGGGCTCCATTTGGATTTTATTTTGTAGATATATTATTTTTTAATACGGTATATTTATCTCTGGGCCTAAATGCTAGTCTACTCCCATGCTTTAAAATAGACTTGCGACAGTCGTAGCGTAGCGCCTTGATGGCTTCAAGGAACGGGACCCTAATTCAAGAACATCGATAAAAAGATGTCATAACGCAAAGTCGCTATGTGGCTGAAATAATGCCGATGCGACGTAAAGATTTAACTCACTCACCCTTAGCGCAAAAATCTTGTATACAATCATGAATGTGTATATTTGACACAAACAAATATAACATTGGCTTTTGAAAGACTATACCTGTATGAAATGATTTTAAAAAGAAGAAGAAATATTTTTTTAATTCTTAAGTTCATGTTTTCCTCATAACAGGGAGCCCCCAACTACAAAAGTCAAGAATTGTATTGTTCAGAACACCCGTATAGAACAGGGTACAAACTCGCTACATTGGAGTAAATATAATTATAGACATGAAAGGTAATTACTACGTATGTGCAATATGTCGGACCCGATCTTGGTGTCCCCTGTCGTGATATTGCTGAAATAATGTTAAAACCATGACCACTAGCTATTTAATCAGCTGTAGCTACTTGAATATCACCTCTCTTGTAAACACGGCTTGGTTAAGTTTGGGAACCGCCATGGCACTTGGCACTATCAGCACCCCCGAGATAACACATCACCCCTCCTCACACCCGGGGGTA